TGATGCTTAATGATGTTGATTACATGCCATCTTTGTGGAAGGAATTATTAGTATACTTAGCATGAAGAATTGTATCAAATTGTATACCAAGATAATTATATGAATGAATTGTTAGCATGACTTATATGATGAGAATGTGTCAATCTTGTATGCATAGATGGTTATGTGAATGTTTTGTAAACATGCTTAAGAAGTGGGAGTTAAGTTAGTTTAAGTACTAAATGTTTTCTCTCAAAAAGGTTCTCACTAGGACTGACTATAACCAAGCCTTTTGGAAAGAACAGTTCATTGCTAGACTCCCTAATCTATTTACTGAAAGAATTCGTAAACATTTTAGATCAAAACACAATGGTCATATTCCTTATGATTCCCTTACTTACGGTGACATCATCAGTACCATCACAGTTGAAGGAATAGCTCTCTGTATAGATTTCAAACTTCAACAGCAAATCAAGCATGAGAATGCCACTATCAGAAAAGAATTAGGATTTTTTTGCCAACAATTTGGCTTCGAAAACCTAACCCCTCATTCCAAACAAAAAAGCCACAATCGTTACAACAAGTCTTTCTCTAAGAGGTACAACAATTGATCACGGTACAACAAGAATAAGCCCTTATTTGCGGATAAATACCTTTTTTCAGAGAAATCCAAACAGAGACATGTCCTTCCTCCGAAACATTTTCAAAACAAGCCTTCCACTTCAAAAGCAGCAATAAAATGCTTCAAGTGTGGCAGGTTGGGTCATTATAAACGTGACTGCAAAACCAAACAGAAAATCAATGTAATACTCCTAATTTCAAAAGGATAGTCTTAGTATTATTTTAATTGTTTTAATTGCATTTTAATTATTTATTGGATTTCTTGGCTAATTGTTTACTTATTTAATTGATTTAATTATTTATGTGTTAATTGAATTATTTGTTTAATTAAACTTGTGTGCTAAAACGTATATTCAGTTTCTTTGTTTAAATAAAATTGTGTGTGATGATGTGTATTTATTTAGGAATTTAATTGTTTTGTTTTATTTTTATTTTTATATTTTTTTTAAGGAATTGGATATGGATAGTAGTAATGGACCAACTAATTGGGTCTCATAGACTACTTGGATAAGGGGTTTAATGGGTACGGATAATTACCCATTGATAGTTGTATATGTATATATAATAAATAAATAAATATATATATATATATAAGGAAAGTCCTTTAGTAATAATATGATGTATATTTATATATTATATATAAAAAGGGAATATACATAGATTATACGTAACATATAATTCAGTTACCTTTTTAATATTTTAATATTTATTTTTTTTCTCTGATAAGTTGACTTTGATTGGGAAAATGATTATGTTATTTTATTTAGCCTATGGCTATAGGTTAGAAAAAGAGGTTAGAAAATATATTACGTACTATATTTTAGAGAGAGAAAGAAGGAATAAGAAGGAAGAAAAAAAAGGAAGAAGGAGGCTGAGTTTTTTTTTTATCAAATCCCTAAAGGCAAATTTTAATTCTTCTTTTCTCCTTTGAGTCATACCCTATACATGCTATATTAATTCTAGGTTTTTAAATAAATTAACTGAGTTCAATTACATGAATTAATTTAGAAATTACAGTTCATGTGTTTTAATAATAGATTTTAGATTTTTTCCTTGCTTCTGCCAAACTGGGTTCTTTATTGTTTGTTTTTTTTTTTTTTTTTTTTAAGCATGAGTCAGTTTGTTACATAAAGGTGTAGTCAAAATTTATTTTTCTTCACCAAGTGCGCACGCTGAACGAGGAGTAATGCCTTTAGGAGAGAGATTTTAGTTTGCTAAACAATTGTAATTAGATTACTTTGTCTGTATATACACGCCGAACGAGGAAAAAAACACATAAAATTGGTAACATGAATCAATTGAGCAATATGTGAAAGAAGCCAGAATTTAATTTTCCTAAAGTAGCACGCCGAACGAGGAAGTCATTTAAGAAAAACACATTAATATGGTTATATAATGAATCTGTTATATAATGCATGATTGATATAATGATGGGTAAGATGATTGATATAATGATTGATAATTATATATTCTTTAACTTATCTTATATATGTTTTTATTTATTTAGTTATTTTGTTTTGATTAGATAATTTTTATAATAAATTAATATTTGTTATTTTTGATTGATGGATCTTAATTAAATATTTATTTAATTTAAATAGATTCATTAAGGATTAGAATGCATAATTTAAGTTTACATGCTAAGTATAGAATTTAATTAATTTTAAAAGGCTAAATTAATTAAATATTGTTGGATTAAATTATTTTAATCAATTGTTAGATTTAAATTAATTTAATCAGAACATGGAGATGTATAATTTAGTTGAGATGCATGTTAATGTCTTGTGATGTAAATTAAATGCATACTATTTAGAATTGATATTTTTGCTCAAGTAAATGCAAAGGATGTGTATAAGATTTATATCATGTTTATTTGGTTTATTAGAGGTAAAAATTATTTACATTATCCTTGGATTTAAAATTTTTATTTGGTTATGATATGGATTAATGCACCATTATGAGATGGGGGCATATTAGGGACAGATTAACTTAAGAGTTAAGTCTTACCTATTTTTAATAAGAGAATTAATTAACCATAGTGTTAAATCCTACTTATTCGTGTCAGGTCAACAGGATAGTTGGATGACATATTATTAAAATAATAATTAGATAGTTTATTTTGATGGTTGGATAGGACGGATTTTACATATGTAATTATACGCCATGATATGAGCTTGAGTCTCAGAATCAGTGGTTAGGGTGCGTATATTGCCAAGGATGTGTTGTTGGATATAGTGTAGTTGTGTACCCTAGTAGGTCTAGGTACTCATACCCACTATATGTGCGTTTTGCATGTTGCCTATTATTCAGGTTAAGCCAACTCTATAGTCTAGTGAGGTTCCTTTAGTATGTATATATCTATATATGGACTATTTAGTTATTATTGAATTAATTAGGATGTGTACGTGTATTGGGTCTCTGCTTTAGATGTAGTATATTAGAACTTGTTTGTGGACCTGACCTACCATTATTTTTCAGGTTTTCGTCAGTTCCAGTCTTAGAGATTGTTCGTGCCAAGCAGAGACAGTCATTCACTCTTCCGACTCTACGTAGGACTCTTCTTCATGTTTTACTTATTAGTTTTATTTCAGTTCAGTTATTTTAGTTAGGATATTATTAGGGGTCCACAGTATGGATTCCCGAGTTGTAGTTTAATTAATTATTAGTATCCGAGGATTAGAGGATTTTATTATGGGATTTTTAATTATTATTTATTTAAGGATTTTTTTTTAAATAAGGATTTATTATTTATTTCCTTTCAGCTTATTATTTATTTATTCCTTTATTATTCTTTTTTGTATTCAAATGCTTGTTTAAATATTAATTGTTTGATATCCCTCGGATCTGTACTCGGACTTGATCACTCGTGACTCTAGAATCGAGGGGTGTCACAATCAATGAGCTGGATCTCCCTCAAACTATCAAAAGCCAATTGATGCAAATTCTTTTAAACTCTTCCGATTCTTTCACTACCACTCCCTCCGAATTTCTGAAAACAACTCCACCACCCCCCACCTTTGTTTTTAACTCAAAGCAAGCATCCACATTGCACTTAAAAACTCCTTGTTCCAGTGGTATCCATGTCTCCCTAGACACACATGGACCAGATATCATATTATCCACCTTCCAAACCCCTAACTGTTTCAAGGATGAATTAGCCTCAACCAATTCCCAAAATTGAGTTGTCGCCATACTTATAATATTATAAGACTCCCATATCTCCCTATTAAACACCCAAGCGTTCCTACCTTTCCAAAGATCACGTACTTGCTGCCAACCCCAAACCAATCTGTCGCTCCTCCTCCGTCCCTAATAACTTACCCAAATTCATCCACCATGTCCCAAAATTCAACCTCTTTGACGAATCAATCCCTAAACGTAAAGTGGACATTCTCCACACCTCCCTACCTCTCGGGCAATATAATTATGTTAATTCGCTCATTGATCTTGTTTCATAGCATGGACTACATTGCCTACTATAAGGATTATAAGTAGGGCTGCAACTCGGGCTGGGCCAGCCCGAATTTACCCGAGCCCAGCCCGAAATTTTCAGGGCTTGGGCAGTGTTTTCTGTTCTAGGTCTGGGCTTGGGATAGATATTCTGAGCCCGAATTAAATTCGGGCTGGGCTTGGGTTGATATTATATAAAGCCCGAAGCCTAGCCCGAGCCCGAAAAAGGTATATTTATTTTAAAACCATGTTTGTTCACAAGTGTATAATAGCTTAATTGGTAGTGTGTTTGGGATTTTTCTTGGAGGAATTCTGTTCGAGTCTCTGTAGCTGCACAAATTTCTTACTTTTTACATTCTGAATACAGAGGCGTGGGCTCATGGGTAGGCTTGGGTAGGAGAAGTTAATTATAGGCTGGGCTTGCCTGCCCAACCCACCCGAGTTGCAGCCCTAGTTGTAAGACCAGGATTCTCTTTTATCATTTTGTAATATTTATAAGAATGGTGAGTAATATTTATAAGAATGGTGAGACTCACAGCCCCATTGTGGCTTCATCCGAATTTGGACCAGGTTTCATTTTCTATATATACAATCTTTATACATTAACCAACTTAAATAATTTTTTAAGATTATAATTTAATTGTACTTCTTCATCTTCTAAAATAGAAGATTAAGTGTTCAACTCCATGTTATTTGGAAAAAGCAAAAAAAAAAAACAAAAAAAAAACAAAAAAGGAAAAAAACGAGACAGAATTTTGGAACAGAGCGAGAAAGAAAATAAAAAAATAATCTAACCTAACATTTATATAAATATACGTAGAATATTATATAAGGGCATTATTGAAAGAAAAAAATAGTATTTTCGGAATTTTATATTTTAAGAATGTCATATGCAATTGTAATGAAACAGTGATCTCAATTCCTTTGTTTAATTATTTTGTTTTAAAATTTAATGTATTTATATGAAAAAAGAAAAAAGAAAAAAAAGAGTTATATTTACCATTTAAACATTAGGTTAGAGATTTATCTCACATAAAATATAATTAAGAAATTGATTGAATATACATATGAACGATATTAACTCACGTAGAATTGCAAAGCACCCATCTACTACAATTACTATTAGAGTTAGGAGTTAGGACCCAATATTTGATCCTAAGCATACCCCTTTTGGGTACGATTGTTTTTTCACTTTTCCCGCAAACAGCTTTCCGCTCGAGTTTGTTACTCTCCTTTCGCCTCCCAGAGTCACGGTTTCTCCCAAATTCTTTCTTGAATTCATAATCCACACCATGAAACTGATGCTCAGATCATTTGAAACCAAAGTAACCCTAAGAATCGAAGTCCCCAATTCATGCTCTCTCCAACACCTCAAAGCTGTAATTCTTCAGAGAATCTCTTCTTCCTCTTCCATACACCTCTCTCTCAATCGGAAGGACGAGCTTCATGGTTCATCTCAACACACTCTTCAGTCTCTAGGTATCATCTCTGGTGATCTTATCTTCTTCACTCTCAACCCTAATGGGTTTTCCTCAAAAACGCAAATAGCCCAAGCCCATACCCCTCCTCAAGAACCCAATTCGGAACACACTCAGAATTCACAGAAAGCCCCAACAACAGAAACCAATTTACAGGAAGAACGTGTTTCCACTACTGAAACCCTAGGTAAACACGAAACCCTAGATTTTGAATCTGGGGACGGTGAGATTAAACCTGAGGAAGATAAAAACTTGGGTGGGTCTGGAACAGAGTACGTGCTTTGTTATCTGAGAGGAGTGTTTGGGAAAGAGGTGGTTGGTGATGGTCGTGGTGGTTATCGTCTCTTGGTGATTGCTGTTCATGCTGTTTTGATAGAGTCTGGCTTTGTTAGAGTTGACCCTGTCTCAAAAATGATTCTTGATGGGTTTAATACTGAGGAATGCTCTTCGTCTTCTTTCAATTTGGTGCTTTCATACACTCTTCCTCAGATTTTATGTAATGGGAATGGAGTTGAAACTGTTTCATTGAAGTTTGTGAGTCTAGAAAAGTTTATTTTCATTTATGGACTTCCTGGGTCATATCAAGTGTATCTGCACAAAGAGCCATTGGTTTCGTTCTTGTACGTTGTGTGGGCAAATTGTGAGTTGTTTGATGAAACTCATGGAAAGGATTTGTTCTCTGGTACATACCCTGAAAAGGAAGTGTTTGAATTTTGGAAGATTGTGAAAGATAAAATTGCATTGCCTCTTCTAATAGATTTATGTGAGAAGGCTGGTTTGGCACCTCCACCATGCTTTATGCGCCTACCCACCGATCTTAAACTTAAGATTTTGAAGTCACTGGCCGGCGTTGATCTTGCAAAACTGGGATGTGTATGTCTGGAGCTGCTTTTTTTGTCATCTAATGACGATTTGTGGAAGCAGAAGTTTGTGGAGCAGTTTGGCAATGTGGAAGGATCAAAGGGAGACGGCCATTGGAAAGGGAAGTTTGCCAAGTGTTGGGAGTGCAGGAAAATGTCTTGTCCATCTCGTATGGGTGTGAGAAGAGATCCTAATCCATCGGGGGTTCCAGGATTTATAGGTGGTAATTATCATCACTTGCCAGTCTTGCCAGTTCTTGCCATCTCACCACCACCAGGCCAAGCCTTTGGTCATTATGACTACTTGCCATCCCAGCACCAGCACCACCGTCACCTGGCCGAGCCTTTCAACATCATCCAGCACCACAGAATTTCAGGCTTCATTGTAATTTGGGAGGACAGGGTGCCTTATCTCGGAGTTTGAATTATCGTTGATCATGGTTGAATGCTGATTCTGAGTCCCTTTTGAGGTAGTACAATATATGCTATGACATTAAGCGTTTGTTAGGTCACTTACTAGAAGAAGAGAAAAGTCAGGAACATGTCTTATGTTGAATATTTTACATGGTTTTAAATATTTATCTTACTAGAAGAAGAGAAAAGTCAGGAACATGTCTTGTGTTGAATATTTTACATGGTTTTAAATATTTATATAGATGGTCTCCAATTGTTGTTGCTTTGTATCTTCTATCTTCTGCTTTATGCACTTTGATTGTGCTAGTTTTTCATGGCCATTCGGGTTTGACTGAATGATTTTGTTCACACGCAGTCTCATGTGTGCACCCTGTAAACATACATGCTTGCATTTAGAATAGAATTAGTTTAATGTGAAGATGAGCTCTATCCCGCATAGCCCAGCAAATAAGAGCATCTCCAGCGGTCTGTTAAAAAATATTTTTGTGTAAAATATATACTGCCATATATAATTTGTAAATTTTTTTCATTTTCAACAGTCTGTTAAGATACACGGCCACATTAAAGGGTTGTGTATTTTACGCAGCCTTTTATACAGCCACGTAAGTATATTTTCTCTCTCCTCCCCCTTTCCCATTCGCGATTCTCTTTCTTCTCTCATTCTTTGACGCCTCTTTATTTCCCACTTTTCTAGAGCACCATGGAGAAGAATCTGGCAGCAAGGTAAGAAGTGTTCGACATCTTTTATTTTTTTATTTATTTTTTAATAAACATAGTTTGATTCATCACTTTTGTTGAGGGAGAAATTCACGCGGTCCGATACGACATCGTTTTCCTGCAAAGATAAGAGTAGAAGATCGATGAAGCTCGACGGCACCGGTGTGGTGTCTGCCAAAAGCTATCCAACGATCAAGTCAAACACCGGAGGTCTAAAAGAAAGGCAGGGATTTAATAATCACTTTTTTTCTATCTTTATTGACTGGTAGGATCTCATTCATATAGTCGCTCTCCCTCAGTTCATTTGCAAGATCAAAGGAGATCCGCTTGTGCGAGATCAGAGGAGATCCCTTGTGCGAGATCAGAGGAGATCCGCTTATGCGAGATCAGATGAGATCCATTTGTTGCCAGATTTGTCGGGGATATGATTTAACCCTTTTGACTTCCTCAAATTGTGCCAAGGTTATCATTACCCTGTTGAACCACGTCATCTTTCATTATCTTTGATAATGAAATATTATCATTTATATCCAATGGAGATATCATCGTTCGAAAGTTGAAGAGGTCTGGCGGCTGGTCAACACTTAGTTGCCTCTATCATTAGGTCAGGATAGGTTAGGTTCATTTTTCTTTATTAGTTGCCCCCCATTCTCAAGCTTGCTCGTCTAGCTTTGGGAATGTGATTTTTTTTTTTTTTTTACCCCGGGCACTGTTCCCTCGAGAATAGTGCCCGCAGGGTATTGTTCACATGAACAGTGATTTTTTTTTTTTTTTTTTTTTGGTACTCTTAGGAATTCTTCCCTTAGTATGAGGATATTAATTACGGGATTTATTCAACTCGGGTCCTTTTAGTACAAGATATTTATTTATTATCCTTTATAGTTTAGGGATATTGATTAAGGGATTCATTAAACCCGGGTCCTTTTAGTACAGGACATTTATTTACTATCCCTTATAGTACGGGGATATTGATTATGGGATTCATTCAACCCGGGTCCTTTTAGTACAGGATATTTATTTACTATCCCTTATAGTACGGGAATATTGATTATGGGATTCATTCAGCCCGGGTCCTTTTAGTATAGAACATTTATTTATTATCCCTTATAGTACGGGGATATTGATTATGGGATTCATTCAGCCCTGGTTCTTTTAATACAGGACACTCATTATCATCCCTTGTATCCCTTTAGTAAGGGAATTTAGATTTTTGTCAAGCGTCGGGAATGCCAAGTCCTACTAAGTTAAGCATGCTTGATGATTACTTTCTTGCCCCTTTTAAGAAGGGAAGTAGATTTGCTCGAGTGTTATGAGCTCTCCCTTAAATAAGGGAGTAGTTAACCCTTCGTTTCTTTACCGAGAGAAGAAGATGAAGTTGACCCTTCATTCCTTTATGGAGGAAAGAGATATAGTCCAAAGGAGGGTAACCTCTTTAATACGAGAGGTAGTCGTCTCGTCACTTTAGTAAATAAAGGAAGCTTTAATTATCTCACTCTTCTGTGTAGAAGGAGTAGTCGGCTTCTTGTCCCTATAATGAGATAAGTAGATTAATATGAGTTTAATATTACCACATAGATAGGTAACTGAAAACGTAATATTTTATTGCGTAAAAATTGAGGATCATCTATCTCATTGGTGATGGTGACTTTATTGGAAAACAAAATAATACGCGAGGGAGCTACCCTCCATGTAAAATGATGAACTGAGATGCCCCTAGTCTTTATTTTGAATGACTTGATAAGGCTAAGTCCAACTGTAAGACAAGTGTTAGTCGGTATACTTATCTGAGTTATCCTCACGATATGTCCTATCGCTTTGGCTGAAGAACGATCTCTTATAGCTGGTACCTTTTTCATCCATGGTGAGAGGGGCTGACCTTTTCTTGTCCTCTCCTTCCTTTCCTTTCCGTGCATTCATGACGTCTTCAGCGTTCATGTGTTTTTTGCGCTCTGATCAACAACTCTGCCATACTGGTGGGAGGTTCTTTAGATAAGGCGAATAAGAATCTGGAGGTTTGGAGTCCTCCTATGAAAGTAGTCAAAGCAATTTTGTCATCCACCTCTTCTACATGTCACATCTCTGTGTTAAATCGGGTGATGTATTCCCGGATCGACTCTCCCTTCTGTTGCTTCACGGTAAGTAGGTAGGTGGCCGGCCTCCTATGCATCTGACCTGTAATGAAGTGTCTCACAAATTGTTTACTCAGTTCTTCGAAGGTGTTGATGGTTCTTAGCTTCAGCTTGTTGAACCAAACTCTTGCCGATCCCTTAAGTGTAGTGGGAAAAGCTCGGCATATGATTTCATCTGGCACGGCGTGTAAATACATAAGAGCTTAAAAGGTCTCCAGGTGATTGAGGGGATCTTTAGTCCTATCGAAGCTTTTGAATGAGGGCATCCTGAACTTGCGAGGCAGGGGCCATTTCATAACGGCGGGGCTGAATGACAAGTTGGTTCTCTACACCAAGTCATCTATGGCGGCAGGACCTTTCCCTTTCATAGCCTGCATTACAGCTTCCATTTTCGCCTTAAGATCTTCGATCTGTAGGTCAAAACAGGTACATTTCTCTATCTTTTCCTTAACACAGAAGGTTGTGCCTGTTTGAGACTGGGGATTCCGCGGAGGCGGGGAAGGAGGTTCGTTGTGTCGATTTCCGACTTGGCTTTGTTCTACCTCGAACTTGTGAGAAGGATTGTTTTCTCGGTCCTCCTCGTGTTGTCCCCTATCATTTAGATCAGGAGGATATAGGTCGGACAATTCTTGTTGAGGTGGTGGTCCCGCTAGGATAAGATGTTGCAGGATCTCTGCATTTTGTTGGATCAACTGGTCCATACCCTGATTTAGAGTTTGGACCTGTAGTTCTAACACTGCAAGTCATTCCTGGTCATTCGGGATGTCTGGGTGTTCACCCGACCCTTCTCTTTGACTGGATCCCTGCAACGATGTTTCTGTTCCGGTTACCATACCGGACTGCAAGTGTATATACCCAACCAAGTAATTGATTTAAGGGAATAGTCGTTTCCCATAGACGGGGCCAACTGTTGAGGGAGAAATCCACGCGGTCCGATACGGTATCGTTTTCCTACAAAGAAAAGAGTAGATTATCGATGAAGCTCGACGGCACCGGTGTAGTGCCTGCCAAGAACTCTCCGATGATCAAGTCAGTCACCGGAGGTCTAAAAGAAAAGTAGGGATTTAATAATCATTTTTTTTTTCTACCTTTATTAACTGGTAGGATCTCATTCTTATAGTCGCTCTCCCTCAGTTTATTTGCAGGATCAGGGGAGATCCGCTTAAGCGAGATCAGAGGAGATCCGTTTGTTGCCAGATTTGTTGGGGATATAATTTAACCCTTTTGACTAGCTCAAATTGTGCCAAGATTATCCTTACCCTGTTAAACCACGTTATCTTTCATTATCCTTGACAATGAAATATTATCATTCCTATCCAATGGAGATATCATCGTTCGAAAGTCGAAGAGGTCTGGTTGCTGGTCAACACTTAGTTGCCTCTATCATTAGGTCAGGGTAGGTTACGTTTATTTTTCCCTATCAACTTTCATTTGATCTATTTTCTACAATTATCGCTGTAGATTTTAGGAGTTTTTTAGATTTTATTATTTGTTATTAAGTTAGAATTTTGGTGGCGGCGGGATAGGGAAAGTGAAATATAGGGGGATTATTATTTTTTTCTTAATTGAGGAGGATCAGGACGCGAAAAAGTAAATTCAAAATTTATGTAGGGCGTTATGTATAACACGTGGTTGGTTGTTATTGGGGGATATTTTTTTATACAACAAGGTATAAAATAACCGATGGAGCTAAAAATAGTAGTACAGAATTTTTATGTAAATCTACTCTGACACATCACATTTACACAAAAATATATACACAATGGTTGAAGATGCTCTAAAGAGTCTCTTGGAAATCTTTGTCTTATAGCAGTGATCGGATCGACACTCGATCTATAATAAATTAACCCTTTTGTAATAGCACAAATCATTGTAAAATAGGGCTATTGGTCGGGTAAGTCGAACCAATGGGATTGCTAGTTTATGGCAACCAAGGTGTCTAAAATCACTTTTAGAATGATGAAGGGGTATAGAGTTTTGTTTGGGTTGTCACTAAAATTAGGAATTGAAAAATGCATAAAATAATAATGTGCTAGGAAGTAAAGAGATAAAGACAATAAAGAAGGGACTAGGGAAGTGAATCCACTACCTATCAAAAAGCATGCTAAGATATGATTTACTTGGGGAAATAACATATATATATATATGACCATGGAATGCAACAACACAAAATTGCTACATTACCTTCAAGAAATTTATGAAATCAATAGGCAAGAATAACCTATCAAAGCATTACATGTTTTGGTTACCTAAACTAGGATGCAACCTTAGATATGCTCACTAAGCCAAAGATTATCAAGCCCTTAATCTTATAATAAAAGCACATGAAATAGAAATCAAGA